ATTAAATTTTCACATTTTATTTTATTAGGTGGGCGCGACCGATTTTTTGTACGTTTAGAACAAAGGCAAAAATTGGGCTTTGTAGATTTGTCGTGTGACCGATTTGAATCATTTTTGAATTCTTTTACAAATTTGTCGGCGGTGTCTTCATTTGTACGAGGAAGATTGGTTACCACAAACACTACATAGTTGAGCAGACGCACCAATTTAAATCTTTATAGTAAAGACTCTGATTGGTTGATATGGTTGGCCCCTTGTTCTGTACAGATTTTATATCCTCTTCTATGCTGCCTCCACCTACTATAAGTTTTTGACGTAAATGCTTTAACTGTCCGTGGGTCAAAAAGACTTGCAATACCTCCGAGATTTGTAAAGTCAATTTTCTTTTGGGTGAGATAATAATAGCGCCAATTTCTTTAGGGGTCCACGGCGATTTATTAGGCCTGCGACTTAACATTTCCAATAAAGGTACTAAAAAGGCTAATGTTTTTCCTGAGCCAGTTACAGCCTCCGCAAAAACATCTTTGCTTGACAAAAGTAACGGTATAGCAGCAGCCTTTGAAATATAGAAGTATAAAAATTTCCTTGAATATCGCAATGAATTTAATGGATGTATTAAGGTTACCTGAACAGGTGTCATTAATTCAAAACCTATACTTTCAACAACGTCTAATGCGAGCATAGATAATGGTGGCTTTTCCAATGACGTCCACTTATTACGTGACATTTTGTATGCAAACTTAATATCCAAAGAAAAACTTAATATTTACAATTTTTTATTTTGTAAAGAAATTATCCACGTGTTTGCAAAATCTCTTTTTACACTTTCTCTTAATATTTTTTATGTTATTTTAATTATTAGGGCGCAGGATAATAGCACGCTGAAAATTTCCTCGATATTAGGTATTTGAAAGCTGTGCGTGCGGACGGGTTTCATTTTTGTGTACACCACGTAAGTAAACATGTATAAAATAGCTTGCATTGTCGGGGATATTTTCCATTGTAGAGGATTTGCATTTATTGAAAGCAACTCTGTGAAAAAAAAGGAAAAACATGTGAAATCAAAGGGAGATATGGAAATTCGATTAAAAAACATATGAAATTGTTTATAATACGAATAGTTTACAATATGAATTGTTTAGAATATGAATTGCATTCATATTTCATTCACACTTGATACAACACGTCATCTCTGCAAACGGCAGCTGGATAATTTTTGTGTTTTCCGGTGTTAGTGAAAAACAGGGAAAAAGAAAGAGAATTCAAATATTTGAAAAAAGGAAAAGAGGTTTAACAAAGTAATAAAATAACCAAAGAAGACAATTTTAAAGGAAGAAAAGGTGGGAAGGAAGAGGAATCTCTCGTGAGAGAAAAATTAAGAAGCAATACATATATTCAATTTTTTGTTTTTCGTTGTGATTTTTTTTTTTTTTTTGTGTTCCCCGTGATAACAACCAAAACAACATCAGCCCGTCTCCCTATGGAGACTGGGTCTGATCTTATAACTACTGATAGAGACTGTTTTGAAGATTTTTATATGAACGCCACTGGGCACACCAAGAGATCGAGAATGCGTGACAATAATATTCTTTTGTCTGTTAACGGAGAAGCTAACGCAAACGTTTTAATTGCGCCTAGTATACAGGCTATCGACAAGCCCTCTGATTTGGGTGCCACAGCCTCCCCAAATCTCGAAATCTCCAATCTCTATTTTTATGATTACTTGAAAGATTTCAATATGTACGGCTTAAAAGAATTAAATGTTGTCAGCAGGGGCAGAGCCAAACTGCTTTTCAGCTCTGCTGCCAATGCCAACAATTTTGTTACGAATAATGAATTTACTAAAAAAAATTTAAAGGTGTACATACCGAGGTCTTTCACTGAGAGATTTGAAGTCATTCGAAACATTCCATGCACATATAGTGTCGATGATATAATTAAAAAGTCCATATCCGATATTCCGATTAAGTCCGCTGTCCATTTTCAAAGAAGAAATCCCAACAACAAAGATGAGTGGATTCCCACAACCAGCATCAAAATTGGCTTCAAAGGGCTTCCGTAAGTCAATAATATTTAATTATTGTTATCTGTCGGTTGAGTGCTTTGTACCCACTTTAAAACAGTGCTTTAAGTGCGGTAGATACGGTCTCGTGTCAAAATTCTGCAAAGCCAAAGAGAGCAGGTGCCTTAACTGTGAGAAGTCTCCCAAGTGAGTGAACTGCGAGACGATGAAGTGCTTGTCCTGTGGTTCAGGTGAGCACAACACTCTCAATAAGTGTTGCCCTAACAGGGAACTTGAATCAAATATCAACAGGATCATGGCAATTAAAAATCTTTCGTATAAAGAGGTAAAAGAGATTTTTTCTGGAAATTATTTCGAATGTCTCGATGACATCACTTATGACGACAATTTCCCTCCACTGGGGAACATGTCTGCAATTTCGACCAAGGATGATAATCAAAACGTCAACAAAATGTTAACCAAAAATAAATATAATGCTCTCGTCAAAAGGAAATCTGTTCCTTCCAAATCTCCTCTCAGTTCACCCACCAAGCCTTCCCCAATACACCCCGCAAGTCGTCTGGAACAAGTCTTCGGCGACCGATAATTTCAAATAACTATCCGCGGTCCTCAGAACTTGAAAGATTAATTCTCGCGATTCAAGAAAGTATTCGTCCGATGATCCCTCATAATCTTATTAAAGAATTTGAAAAGACAATGTCTGTCTGTGCCATTTCTTGCCCCGTTCAAGCACCCAGTACTACGAGGAAATCCGCTGGGGTTCTTTCTCAAGTTTTAACATGATATCCTTTTTACAATATAATATTCAAAGTGTCCGACGTAACTTATCTTTTCTGGATTTTTACTTAAACTCAAACAAGATTGATTTCTGCATCTTAAGTGAAGTTTTTCTGAAAGATGAAAATTGTTTCGAAGTTAAAGTTTCGAATTATGTCTCAGCCACCAAATGCCGAAATGATGGCTATGGTGGGGTTAGTATATTAGTTAAGAAAGGTGTCAATTTCAGACGTATTCCCTATAAATCTGCTGTTGACATTATCATCATCAAAACCATGAACCTGAAACCGAATCTTTTCATAGCATCATGCTACTTTCCACCCAGTCTCGATGTGCAAACCTTTCGTGATGAGATTCAAAGATTATGCGATTTTCTTGATGGTGAGCAAACTGTGATTCTTGCTGGAGATTTCAATGCACGACATCGCCTGTATGGCTATCAAGTCTCGACCAACAAAGGCAAGATCCTTGTAAATGTCATCAATTCCAGCAGTTTCAGTGTCTTAAATAATGGCAATACTACCTTACACTTTAACCGGAGCGGTCGCACGGCAAGCAGTGTCTTGGATCTAACTTTCTGGAATTCAACTATTTTATCTTTCAACTGGAACACGTCCAACGTTTCCATTGGCAAAAGTCAGCACTCTCCCATTTTATTCCACAGTTGTAACAATTCCGTTAAGAAAATAGAAAACTTCATTTCACGCAACTTCCTTATGGACTGTCTGTCTAAAGTTGATCTTTCTTCTGATTTGTCATCAATTCAAAGTGCCTTTGAGTCTGTGATCAGGTCTGCTAGAACCAACTTTCCTGACATTGAGTCCTTCTCACCTAAACCTTGGTGGAACTCTTCCCTGTCAACACTTTTCCGCAAATACATAGAGCTATCGCCATTAAAGATTTATGTGGTAAGGGCAACCCACGTTCTTTCTGGAATTATATCAATGGTCATCGACATTCTAGTCGAAAATTAAGCGGTTGTGTTGTATGGAATGACCAAAATAATAAAAAATACTTAGATATGCTCAAGAGCTACATTCCAATTGTCAATCCGATTACAATGCCTTCAATTCCTTTAAGTAGTCTCAGTAACACAACCTTTTCATTGCATGAGCTAATGTATGTTTTACATTCCAGGAAGAGAGCTACTGCTGCAGGTTATGATGGAGTTAAGTATGACATGCTCAGAGCACTGTCTGGAGGAAGCTTTAGCATTTGCATGCAATTAACGACTACTGGTCCACCAACTTTATACCCTCAGATTTGCGATGCATCAAAATAGTTCCCATTCCCAATCCAGATAAAGACTTAAATGATTTAAGTAGTTTCAGACCAATTTCACTGATGTCTGTATTCATAAAGGCTATCAACCTCATGGTTAAGGAGAGACTAACTGCTTTCCTGAAAACTGAGAACATTATTCCAGCTCATTCTTACGCCTACCAAAAACGCAAATCTACGAATATGTGCGTTAATGAACTGTGTTTTCTCATAGCCAGCTTTAAAAAAGCAGGGAAAATGGTTGTCGTGCTCTCCCTGGACATCAGCAAAGCCTATGACCGTGTCAACTTGATTAAGCTTGATATAATTCTCTTAAACTTTTCGATTCCTCTTCAAATGCGGCTGTGGATACTTAATTTTTTATCCAAGCGTGTATTGGTGATGGGTACCGAAAAAGTTGAAATATGCGGTGGTATCCCACAAGGCAGTTGTTTAAGCCCCATACTCTTCAATTTATACGCAGCTTCTTTGCATGATCTTCAAGATGACAAAACTTATATTTTTCAATATGCAGATGATTTTCTAATTGCATCTGCGGACTCATCTTTTTCAGCAGCTGTCAATAACCTCTCGATGAAAGCGAACTTGCTTTTCGATGCATGCGCTGATCTTAATTTATATTTTAACCCCAGCAAGACAGACACTATTTATTTTGCCAAAGGTTCTAAACATGAAATCAGACTTCTTATCAAGGGTACCCAAGTTAATCAAGTAAAATCTCTTCGATTTCTTGGTACAATTTTAAATGACAGCTTAACCATTCGTGGGCATTATGAAAAGACGTTCAAAGACTGTCAGTCTGGATGCAACATCATCAAACTCATGAAAAAAATCAGGCAGGCTTGCCTCCCAAAAATGCTTTGACCGTTTACAAAACTCTAGTCAGGTCCAGAATTGAATTTAGACATTCCACATGTTGCAATTTCCCAAAATATATAGAGAAACGTATACAAGCATTTGAAAACCGAATGTTGAAGCGTTGTAATGAACTGACCCCCTCAAGTCCTCAACATATTCTCAATGATTGCCAAGATGATTGCACAAAGTCAAGATGTTAAATCCTTCCTTTTTTCAGGAAATTATATCTCTCAGTGATACTGACACTTGCACCTATACTTTTTGCTATCAAAAACTTCGTCATATTTTTGATAAGTTAGATTCAATTCCTCCCTTGAATTTCATTACCAGCAAATGCAGAGTCTTCATGAACATTCTCGGGTCGATCTCTACCTCAAAACAAAATGTCAACTTCTCTTATATGAGGATGTTATGCCAAGAAAAGCTCCTTTTTTATTACAGCAACGGCTACGATATATATGCCACCGACGGTTCCGTCGGACAATGGATCTGGCTTCTCGGTCGTGAAACATCTATCTAAAACAATACATCGAGTCAAAGTGGCGGAGAAACTTTTCTCAACTTTTATTGAGTTGCTCGCCATTCGACATGCTATTAAGGTTGCTATCTCCGATGGTATCAGAAGGTTTGTTATTTTTTCTGACAGCAGGTCAGCTCTACTTTTAATAAATAAAAGAGATGCAGAAAATCAATATGTGTTTGATATTCCCAAGATGTTGCATGAATCTCAAGTGGATGACTGTCACCTCATTTGGGTACCTGTTCGACTTTCAAGAACACAACAAGCACAATTACACACAACAAGCACAATTACACTTAACATGCTGGCTCCAGTTATTACGGCCGCTCTTTTTTTTTGTTACGTTTTGTACGTAATTGCGATCAAAAATTACGACAGTTTATTATCTGGACACATAAGCCACAAATCTATTGGCTTAGTCCAGCTCCATTCAACATACCAAAAAAAAAAAAAAGGAATATGAATTGTAAATAATTTCATAACTCATATTA